GACCTGGGAGCGAGAAGAGACGGGATTTTGTAAATTTTTGGGAGAAATTCAACAATCGTCTGCTTGGATTTTTCATTTGGAAGTCTCCCGGGGTTTAGACTGCTGCCACCGTTACCAAGGCGACGGGGTTAAGTGGAAGAAAATGAATGGATGGAAAGGTTCTCTGTTCTTGATGTTGGTGATCGTGGGATTGTCTGTGCTAAATGGTTGTATTTAGTTTTGTTGTATGGCACTTTTTGGACCACACAGTAGAATAATTTATAATAATACATCACATACGGTAATATTTCTGTGCTTTCAGGGCTTTCTTGGCTTCTCAAAAATACTCTCACCAGCGTTTGACCCATTTTTAGTCCAAGTCATGTTCTCAATCTCGTCCCATCCCTATCTTTGAACGTTTGATAATGGAATTTCTCAGTTAAACAGTGGTACATGAATGGATACGTCATTTAAAAGCATTAACAACACATTCTTTTTTAATACACAAAAGCCAGACATGACTTTTTGGCGAGCGTAGCCACAGTCTAAACTCTGCTTCTGATGTGGATGTAAACATTTATTTGGATTTGGTCGATTGGGAAGATGATTGATGTCACCTAGACAGTGTTTAAGTTCCATTTCTCAAAAATAAAACATGCTTAAATGTCAAACGACTGGATTTAGAAAAATAACTTCTGTGTTGTTATTATTACCAGGACCACTCTTCTGCTCCCGTGGGTCAGACTTTTGTTATTGCGGTCAGAAGCACACAACAGGCTGCTCGGGCTGGACGCCTGTGCATAAAAGTTAGAACTAAAGTGCTCAGAATGAGGCAAGAGGCGGAGGATATTGGGAAATATATTGCTATGTTTTAAAATAGGTTCCACAAACAATGTTGAGTCTGATTTTGTTGAGGAAAGATTATATTATTTTATATATATTTGTTTTACAGAAAGTCGCAGTTTTGTTGTAGCTCACATTGATGCATAGATGAGTACTTTTATGTGTCTTTTATAGGAATGTTCGAAGTGTAGTTAAAATATATTTAAAACAGTTATTGTTGGTCAAATGTAATGAGTGCATATGACAAGTTTTTCTCATTTTTACTTTGGTCAAATTGTAATTCCATAATTTAGCAACATTCAGATTGTGAAGAAATCTCACAAAAAATGTGGGGAATTACAAGAAGTAAAATGTTCAACGATGACATTGCGTCTGGGAGATAATCATATATTTGGGACATTTCAACAATTGTGAAATTTTAAGTTCTTATTTAAACAAAATAAATGTAAAATGTTTGCTGGGAGTTCTCGCTGAAACTTAGCTGCTTTTAGGTGCAAGGGGCCAAAGCCTGTGTTAATAAATCTATAGTAAAGACCAGATGAAACTTTATAATCTCATACCTCTGGTCACTTATATTCTAACAAACCTTATAAGCATGCCTTTATAAGTTTACATCTATCATTTTACTTTTTAGCACCATGAGCCAAAGCCAAATTCTCTGTATTTTCGCCCTGTGCAGGATTTTTGTTTAAACCAGGAAGTAAAATGTATCAACAAAATAGTGGCAGACCTGGAATAATAATAGTTTTGTATAAAGGTTATTAAAAGTAGTTGAACTTGTCATAGGCCCTTTACATTCTAAATATGTAGTGTCATATATCAGCCACCAGAGGGCAGCATCCGCATACAGCTTGAGAGGGCAGTTACCGTAAAGTGCGTTTTCAGCCACAGCAACAAAGGTCCTTATTTTTATAATTATTTGCTATTTCTTGGTCTTGCATTTTAATTCTTAACATGTTAAACAAAATAATGTATTTAATGGTGTTGGAGGAGATGCTTCTAAATATCAAAATGTGATGTGTATAAAAATAACACTCCAAAAGACAGGAGAGGACCAACATAACACAAGGAGAGAGACAAGAGAGGACCGGCATAACACTAGGAGAAAGACAGGTGAGGACCGGCATAACACTAGGAGAAAGACAGGAGAGGACCGGCATAACACTAGGAGAAAGACAGGAGAGGACCGGCATAACACTAGGAGAAAGACAGGAGAGGACCGGCATAACACTAGGAAGAGACAAGAGAGGACCGGCATAACACTAGGAGAAAGACAGGTGAGGACCGGCATAACACTAGGAGAAAGACAGGAGAGGACCGGCATAACACTAGGAGAAAGACAGGAGAGGACCGGCATAACACTAGGAGAAAGACAGGAGAGGACCGGCATAACACTAGGAAGAGACAAGAGAGGACCAGCATAACACTAGGAGAGAGACAGGAGAGGACCGGCATAACACTAGGAGAAAGACAGAAGAGGACCAGCATAACACTAGGAGAAAGACAGGTGAGGACCGGCATAACACTAGGAGAAAGACAGGAGAGGACCGGCATAACACTAGGAGAAAGACAGGAGAGGACCGGCATAACACTAGGAGAAAGACAGGAGAGGACCGGCATAACACTAGGAAGAGACAAGAGAGGACCAGCATAACACTAGGAGAGAGACAGGAGAGGACCGGCATAACACTAGGAGAAAGACAGAAGAGGACCAGCATAACACTAGGAGAAAGACAGAAGAGGACCAGCACAACACTAGGAGAAAGACAGGAGAGGACCGGCATAACACTAGGAGAAAGACAGAAGAGGACCAGCATAACACTAGGAGAAAGACAGAAGAGGACCAGCACAACACTAGGAGAAAGACAGGAGAGGACCGGCATAACACTAGGAAGAGACAAGAGAGGACCAGCATAACACTAGGAGAGAGACAGGAGAGGACCGGCATAACACTAGGAGAAAGACAGGAGAGGACCAGCACAACACTAGGAGAAAGACAGGAGAGGACCGGGATAACACTAGGAGAGAGACAGGAGAGGACCGGCATAACACTAGGAAGAGACAAGAGAGGACCAGCACAACACTAGGAGAAAGACAGGAGAGGACCGGGATAACACTAGGAAGAGACAAGAGAGGACCAGCATAACACTAGGAGAAAGACAGAAGAGGACCAGCATAACACTAGGAGAGAGACAGGAGAGGACCGGCATAACACTAGGAGAGAGACAGGAGAGGACCAGGATAACACTAGGAGAAAGACAGAAGAGGACCAGCACAACACTAGGAGAAAGACAGGAGAGGACCGGCATAACACTAGGAGAAAGACAGGAGAGGACCAGCATAACACTAGGAGAAAGACAGGAGAGGACCAGCACAACACTAGGAGAAAGACAGGAGAGGACCAGCACAACACTAGGAGAAAAACAGGAGAGGACCAGCACAACACTAGGAGAAAAACAGGAGAGGACCAGCATAACACTAGGAGAAAAACAGGAGAGGACCAGCATAACACTAGGAGACTTGTGGTAAAATCTCCCTAAACACCTTTAAAAGCGAATCAAAAATACATTGATTTATGAGACAAAATTCATAGAAAAATAGTTGATTGTGAAAGTGCGCGGACAGATATGATTGTTTTTACAAAACTATACAACGCCTATGGTCAAAATAGATGCTTCTTATTGGTCCAGAGAGATCCAGCTGTTGTGTGCTTTCTTTAACAAATGAAAGAACAGGGACCTGGAGTTTAGTCGTTTCATGATGTCAGATGTTTGCCCTTACAACTGGGCATACAGACTTTCACTTTCACTTTCACTTTTCCACACAGTCGGCAGTGGGCGGACATGACACGCACCTTCTCTTCAGCATCATACGTGATCACCGTTCTTCGTTCACATGTTTTACAGCGTCACCAAACGACACAGGAATGAAGGGACCAATGGGAATTCTAAGCCTCATTTTAGCAGAAATGTGGACGACCGCGACTTGTGTTTTTATGTCCGCAATAATATAATCGGTATAATTCAAAAGTCATTCTGAATTGTGTTTGTCTTGACTTAACCTGCCTCATCATGTAACAGTAAATCAATTTATTTAGATGTTTTTGCCTAATATACATTTAATTCATTTTTAAAACCAAAACGTATGGTCCAGAAATGCGTTTGTATTGTTAAAATATGCAAATACTGACTTTTCATTTCCCTCAAGCTGAATGAGTCTGGTGTGTGAGTGAATGGTCGGTGGTGGGAGGGGCAGATGGCACATACTGGCTGCTTTGCCTCTGTCAGTGTGCCCCAGGGCAGCTGTGGCTACGAATAATGCCATGTCTTTGAGTCTCCAAAAAAAGCGCAATGCATTATTATAATAATTATCATTATTGATACATTTACAAGCAACCTGTGTTTTAGCGTAGATAATAAGACCCGACTGATTTCCTGCTCACTGGACTGACAGTTTTACATCTCTGGCCCTCTGCTCGTGGGACTGACAGTGCGTTGCTATGGCAATATTTTGTATAGAGCACAAACTTTGACGGAGCTAATTTCCAGTTTGTGTCAGTGGATCAGCAGACAACCTACCAATCAATGCTAGTCCTATAAGAAAAAAATTAGCTTTATATTTTCACGTTTACCTTTTCCCGCTGACTGATACAATATTCATGTTTTGAAGGATTATAAAATTGGATTAGATCTTAAACAGGTCAGCCCTATTTCATTTATAGCTGTAAATAGTTGATACATTATGAGTTTGAAAAGCACTGTTTAAACTCTAGTAGAGTTTCTGGCCACCCTGGAAAAGCCATGTTCCAGCTTCTTCCCTCTGGCTGAAGATTTTGTGCGTTGAGATAATTGATTCCTGTGTCAACTGATTCCTGCACTTTTTAGTTAGTTTTATTTTGGTACCTATTTCTGTCCTTAATTATGTACGTGTCTTGTGCACACTGGGAGCTTTTGCAACTGTATTCCAATGGGGTTTTAATGCAAATGAATAAAATGAATCTGAAATATCTGAACACAGCTTTTTTGCGCTGCTAAGGCCACAGTAAGATGCTTTTTGGTCCGTTCATTCCTCTGTAGATCAGCTGCTCACCTGTGACCAGGCCTGGGCAGAGAAAGTGCAAAAGCAGGCCGTGTCTTTGGTGCTCTGGCGTGTCTGTGCGGACGGACGCTCCACGCGCTTCAGGTCTTTTTGAAGAAAGAGAAAAGCGTCTTGTCCCGTTGGTGGATGCGCCGACGCCTGGAGCTCTGTCCGGAGTGCGAGGGCCTCCACTCGTCCTGCTGTTTGTCCATGAGCTGCTGGTCTATCACCCTGTGCATGTCGTCCTACAAGTTCACAAATACAAACTACTGAATGACAAATAATACATGGATTTATAGTGTATCAACAAACAAGATATACACCCCCCCAACCCAATACCCCATCTGTCTATTAGCCCTATTTTCACCAGCCCTACTTGGTCCTACTCTACTCTACTCTCCCCCAATTGGGTTTCCACTGGTACCAGGTCATCTTTTTTGCACCTGCTTTGCTCTGGTTCTAACCAAGCCGAGCTGGTGCTGAAAAGTGTGCGATACTGGTTAAACAGGGCCAGTGGGAACACTCCAAATCAGGAATGAGTAGAGCAGAGTAGAGTAGGGCCCAAGCAGGGCTGGTGGAAATGGGGATGTAGACCCAGCTATGTTAGATTTAGATCAAAATAGAACGAAATGTATGACAAAATTACGTAAGGAATTACTGCAATAGTAGGTCGTGTTGTCATGATACTGAATTACTTAACTCAATTTTTATATTAGAAAAAATACCTAATAATCTGTAAATGCTTTGTGGCATTTGGTGTTTTACAGTAAGTAGATTATCCAATCAGAGAGCAGACTGAGCCACACATGAGTCTTTCCTTTAACAAGTTACATTAGTTTGGTGCTTTCACATTGGAATTGGTCCAATAGAAATGAACTCTGGATATGGAAACTCTGGCATTTATGTAGAATAATTTTAATTGTATGAAGATAAGTAACAAATATAGCTTTTTAAATTAGATATAATATATATTTGTTTATATTTTGATATTTTGCAAACAGAAGCATGAGGCAGAGATGTTTTTATACAATCAATCTTCAGTATTGAAGTATACTGTAAATGGACCAATCATGTTGAGCATTAGATAAGGAGCCAAAACCCGTGGAAATATATCATTTTGAATTGAAACCATGATTGATACGCAGCCATAATGTTCACACAACAAACATCATTGTAGTTTGTAAAATTCAATGAAATCATATATACTGTACAGTAAATCATATCTCAATCCTGCAAAAACAAGAGATGACCACTCATGATGGTCTTCCACACAAGAAGAAACAGAACGTGAGAGACATGCAGTGATTTGTGAAAGAAATGAAAAGTCAGTGTTGGTCTCGGGTCACACATGGGTGAAATGGTCCAGTAATGGTGGAGCTCAGATGGGACAGGACAGGCTGACCTCACCTCTAAGGCAGGAAGGGGGGCACCGTGGGGGAAAGAGGGAGGTACGGAAGCTGATAAAGGCCACTAGATCAGAAACCACAAGAGCCAAACAGTAAAGAGCCCTGAGGAGGCAAACTGTGGTGGGAGAGAGAGAGGAGAGAGAGAGGACAGAGGAGCAGGTTACAGAGGCCGGGCTCAGGTCCAGGCTGAAAGTCCATTTGAATGTGACGATCTTTGTTTATGTCCTAACCCTCCAAATATAATGCGTTTAAAGTGGACCAATATCACACAGAAGCATTCTATAAGTAATAGTACATGTGTGAAAGAAGCAGCTAAACAATGTCCAAGCTAGGACAGCTTTATGGAGCTGTCAAGTCCCATAATAATACAATTACTTAGAGTTTGAAGTTTACTATGTGGTAATTATTTTCCACAGTGCAGTTGTTTTCACTCCAAACAACACTTGTAAAACTTAAATTTGTATTCATTCTATTATCTCCAGCCAAACCTTTACTTTTTTTCTCAAATCCGTATGGTAAAAATGTACAGTTTTCTTTTTCTGAATCCGTAATAAGGTGGACATGGCTCTTTGCAGCTCCATTGATTCTGTCTCACACCTACATTCTCCAGGAAATGATTGTGCTCCCTACTGGATTCTTTTTGTTTTCGCAGGACATTGTAGAAAGTCCATCTGAACATTGAAGTGAAAACGGTTTTGACTGTTTTGAAATGGGCCCTCAATTCGAAGATGTCCTTGAACCTGTTTCGCCTGTTCTTAGCCTTTTCAGTCTGTTTCAGTCTTGTGTTAAAATGCAACAGATTTGTCTTGGTTGCAAAAGCTGTGTACAGACGAGCTGCAGTCGAACCCTTTCTATCACAGATCACTCCTGGACGAATGAGAGGTTCTCAGCTAATTACAGAATTAATACTTTCAACAATATGAAAGCAGTTGAATATCACTATACATGTCTTGTTGTTATTATAAAGATGGATTAGTTTTCAAATAGAATGAGTAGAACTTACAGATATTAGTAAAACCTACAGATAAACCATTGAAAGGTTCTGTCTTATGTATTTTGTCTTGTGGTGTCTTTTGTCGTATGGCGTCTTGAATGCGGCGTGTGCGCAGTCGTACCTGCCACGCCTCTAGCTGCTGCGACAGGTTGAGCTTCTGTTGAATGGCGTCGAGGAGCTGGCTGTTCAGAGACATGATGTCGATCTTACATTTGGCCAACTCCATCTCCACCGCTTTTTTCCTAAAACCACAAACCATGCAGGAAGAGGTCATTTAAGCAGCACGTATATGTAGGATAAAACCATGGATCTATTATAATAACTAGATTATTACGAGCTTGGAGCTGAAGAACCATGTGCTCGGGGGATTGTCGCGGTACTGCAGACTAGACCAGACTAGATTCACGTGGGCTACCCTGAAATTTTCCCCATAGAAGTCGATGTAAACTAAAACAGCGCGACCTCACCTGACAGAGAACCTACAGCTTTCAAAAAGATCAGATTTTGTGTGGATTTTAGTGTCCCTTGTCATCCTGAACTTTTTTTCTTCTTAAATCCTTCAGTTTTCTTCAATTCCACACTTTAGTGCGTCTGGCTACCGCTCTAACTCCCGCTCTGATGAACAGCTCTGATTGGTCAGAGCGCAGCCGTATTTGGCGCTAAGCATCATGGGAGCTCGTCCGCTGCGCAGAGCCGGGAGGACCAGACGATGCCCAAATACAGGCGAGTTCCCCATGGATCTTTGTGAGTTCCAGGCGACTTCCGCTAATCTTTCAGCGCCCATGCCGGCACAATGCGCCACTGAGCACAAACCATCATCGCCGGGGCTTGGCTAAAACTGAAGAACTGTTTCGCCATGGATCTAGAAAAACACTTGTAGAGCACAGACCTCCACAGGCACAGATGCATTCCTAAAACATAAAAACCCTGGATCCAGACAGTGTTCGAGATCACCTCAAAATCTAATCATGTGTTCCTTGTCTCATTTACATGTACACCATTCAAACAATCAAGATTTTTATTTCAAAACATGCCCAACATAATTTTACTGAACAAGATAAGAGTTTTAAAAAGGCAAACATCTTTTGGTATGTGCAATACAAGTCTAGATTGTGTTGTTGTGTTGCTGGAATGTTCAATAACAATGTCATACTTGGAGATGGCGTCGTCACGGTCCCGGATGGCGGTCTGCAGCTGCTCACTCGGCTCTCGGACCTCCGCCATCGCTCTCACTCTGTCGTTCTCCTCCCTCAAAGAGCACATCTCCACCGACAATAGCGCCATCTGGAGGACACCGCAGTTTTGGGATATTTGCGTACTCTAAATTCTTAATCGGTTTTGTTGTCTTAAAAAATGTCAAAGAACACATATCATGCATTACTTTACTCAAACATGATCTTGAGAATATTTCCTTTGGCTTTATATTTTTGTAATATTTTAGAAATGCGACAAAACATGGTCGTGATGAGCAAAACAGCTACACCTAGTGGTAGAAGTGGGAAATTGCATTCAACTTATATAAAAAAAAAGTTCATTTTAGTGAGGGAATAAACAAGGTTAAAAGTTCTTTGCATCATATTGGTGTCTTAAATGTTATTCTGCCCACTCTTGCAGAAACCCTGGAATGTCCCATACCAGTGTTAAACCAAGACCAACCAGATTGATGTTGACAAATGCCCAATAAAGTTGATTGGTCATTTTCACATCGTCAAAAGTATGGAACTCAAGGTGCCTCAAAATAGTGACTCAGATTTCCCACTGCTATAACTGAGTCCACTGAGGACGGAGGGAGATTGTGAAAGGTTTTGACGTGAGAGTCTTTTCATGTCAGGATTCTGTTGAGTTTTCCTTTCCACTTTTTCTCATTATCAGCAGAAGATGTCAGACAGAAAATGGCTTCAGGCTCTTTCCTCATTATTTTTAGTGCAGCGGTGTTACATCACTCGGCAATTGTGTTCTAACTACATAAATGTCTCATTTCTCTACTCATCAATCCATAATTGTGTAAATTAGTCAAGCTTTGGGTCTTGTTTACTTTGAGATTGCCATGGCAACTAAAATTTGTTATATGTGTAGTTCATGGGCAAGCTAGTCCTTACCTTATCCCCTACCCATCTTATTTAGCCGTTCCTAAACCAACTCTTAAATGCAAATTGTGATAAATACATGACAACGAAATGTGAATGTTTATCTAAGCCAGGGACCAAATACCAAGATTTTAGTGAGTGTCGTAGCTCATGTCCAACCAGGAAGTAACATGATCTCCTAAATCTTGAATATATCCATCTTAAAGGAACAGGAGGCCGATTTTGCTCTGACTGGTTAAAAAAGTGTTGGCACTAGATCATAAACAGAATCTGGACAGAAGCGGAAGTAACAATAATACTTTCAAACAAGTTTTAGACCAATAAGTCCTCAACTGGTGACTGGTTAAGTTTTAGGTGGGTCTGAGTAAGATGGTTAAGGTTAGGGTTATTCTATGGGAATGGCTGGTTCAGTTTAGGCATGAATAGGTAGTTGGTTATATTTACTTCCGCTTCCGTCCCGATTCCGTATATTTATATTTAGTGCTGACCTTTAAAAACTTACTTCAACTTAAACTAAATCATGTATCACCAGAGTCTTATTGATCAAGTGCTGCTGCTGCTGATCTGTTTGGTGAGAGCAAAAACAACTGGATTCTATTGAAACTGTCAACCCACAGACCTCATTCTGCTTTCTGAATTCAAGCTGGGGTACCTAACTTTCAAACTACGTAAATAAAAATATTATTATACTACATAATAAAAAAAAAATACAACTAGTTCCTGGCTCTCACGTCACTTGTTTTGGCCTCTGTCACTGTCTTTAGACATAGCCTTTTCAGACAAAAAAGTGAACAAGTGCACTCAGCCAATCAGCTCTCAGCCCAAAGCATCGAATAGTGACTCACAGGGATCTTTCTTACAAGTAGGCAGGTGGTCTGATTTGTTCACAATATTTGACATTAATTAGACTTTAATGTCAAAGACTGGGACAAACAACATTATTCATGGTACCCCAGTTGTACCATGTTGACCCAGCTCCTGCACAGATGTTAAAGGGGTCTCTTCAGGGTCTGACCTGGTTGTGCAGCTGAAGGAGCTCGGCGTCGCTGCTGTGGCTCTTCTCCTGCTCACACTCGTGCAGCTCCCTGACGTCCCGCAGCTCCTCCCCCAGCCTCCTCAGCTGCTCCTCCAGCTCCTCCTCACTGCGGCGAGAGCCCTGACACACGCACACGCACACACAGACACACGCACACACAGACACACGCACACGCACACGCACACACAAACACACAGACACACGCGCACACAGACGCACACACAAACAGACACACGCACGCGCGTGCACACACACACACACACATCAGCACTCATCATGACAACCTTTATTTTTGTCAATATTGTTTCCTCACAAATATGAAATAAAACCACTTTTAACTATTTTGGACCAAACATACATTTCAAATGTACCTACAACTTACTTGCTACTTGCTAAAGTAAATGTGTTTATTATCCTTAAAAATGTGTGATTTTATGATCTAATATGAGTCTGTGTCTGGTTACAAGAACTGTCCAGATGTGAGCCAGGGCGGCTGAGTGCCAAAGTTCTGGCGGAGTTTACTGATAAAATACTTCTGAGGAAAATACACAATCTGGTGTTTTCTTTACATCACATTCTTCAATGTTTCAACATCTCTTCAGGAGAAGAATCCCTCTCAGTTTAGTGCAGTTGTAAACAAACTGTTGCTGTGGAGACTGGTACTATTGCTGTAAGTGTAATGTTTTTCAGAGCTCCTGCACATGTGTGATGTTACCGTGGACTCGTTGCCGTCCAGCAGGTTTTGTGTGAGTCTCTTGAGCTCCAGCAGAGTGGCCTGCAGGCTGCCTGTGGGCACGTCTTTGGCAGAGGACGTCTCTGAGGACTCGTCCATGGAGGAGTCTGTGGACAGGGCCGAGTCGGTGACATCGTTCCCCCGCAGATGAGAGCAGAGAGAGCGCACCTCACAGTAGGCTTCCCACAGCTGCAGACGCAGCTGCACACACAATTGTGGGATTTAAAATTTGAAAAATGTTTTGTCAACTATACATATATTGTGTAAAGAAGGAAAAAACAACCACTCAACTGATAATGCATAGTACTTATACAATTCAGATGGCATATTTCATTCAAAACTACTGCTGTAGCCACATAAGGACACTTATTTGTGCCATCGGCCCCTCTGACCGCTACCAATAATTCGCACACACCGACCAGACTCGTATGAGACACTGTAAAGTGTTTTGCCAAAAGATACCTCACCTGGTGTTCCCAGAGGTCTCCCATCACAGTACTGACCATGCGCAGCCCTATTTATCCTCTTCAGTCTGACCGGGTTTTGCTTTCACAAGCAGATGTCGCCACTAAATATGACATAATGTGTCCGTCTACTTTCTTACTGAAATTCTCTTGCTGCATAATTCATGAAATATGATTTATCACAATAATTCTCAGCAGCCAATAATAATACTTTGGTTCATAAAAAGGAGTCATGGTGAAAGATCTCTGAGGTGTGTGTGTACCTGCTCCCTCTCCTGCTCCAGCTCCTCCTGCTCCATGCTCTGTTCGATCTCACACAGGAGGCTGGAGGGGTGAGGCGTGAGGGAGGTCAGGCTGTGCTCGTCCGACACCTCCTCCAGCCGAGCGCTCAGCTGCCTGTGGCTCCTCTGCACCTCCGCCAGCTCCAGCTGACTCTGACGGGACTGAAGGACACACACACCACAGGCAGAGTTGTAACAAACATAGATTGATAGATAATGTGTGGAGCATGTAGTGGTATGCATTATTTCATTTTGGAACATGAATATGATGGTGAGATCATCAAATTTGGCTTTTCCTTTTTTTAGAATGCAAAAAACATGGGTGAACGTACACTCAATCTTATGGAAAATGACATGCAGCCTATAATTATATGCATTAGTGTGTGTGTGCCTCGCATCAACACGTCCGTCATACGCACGTACCGTATAACACTAGTGTAAATATCACCATAGGTTAAAATGGAAGGATTTTACGTGCGTCTAAATTGAATTAGCATTAGTCAGTCCTGTAAGAGTATAATGTCATTGTACCACGATGCAACACAGTCTGATCTCTCATACTGTAACGACATGTTTGTGCCAGCAGCTCCTGACAAAAGCGTGGATGGACAAAACACAACTTCAGGTTGGTTTATGACGAGAGAGAATGGTTAAAAGCAAAAAACGTTGATTTTGCACAATACAGTACGTCTCCTTTGTGTAATCAGCGGCAGATCTGCAGGAGGCCGTGAGGGGAAGGTCACAATCACAGTCGTAAGTCGCTACATAAAGGCAATTTAGCTCCTGCATAACTCCCGTGGAAAGTTAAGCATTGTTACGGTTTGGAGCAGTGAGTAATTTATGATCTCCCTGACCTTTAATTTAAACTACAATGTGCACATCTGAATCTGCTCTTGTAAAGACAGTACAGTAACAATGGACGATGAATGTGCTGCAGATATATTTCACTTTAAATCAATGACATGTATTTTAGTATATAGCCCTGAATCACAACAGCAGTTTTCCAATCCTCAACAACAGATCAGAGAATCAAACAGTTTGAACATAGGAAATGCAGTAATAACAAACACATAGAGGGTGGATGACCAATGGCTCTAAATGTTGCCAATGGGACAAAACATTAAGTCTTAATCCAAGAGCTGTTGATTAATTTTCTCATTCCAATTACTGACTTATAATTTTTGTACTACTTTTTGCAGTGAGTGTATTAAAACCGTAGAACTGTGTGAAGAAATATCACACCAATTCCTGCCGTCTTACTCTTATTAGAAAACAGTTTATTGCAAGGAGCCCCGTGAGCCCCTGTAATGAAAAACTGATTGGTTTGACCCCATTTGAACTTTTTTCTTGCAATAAAAAGCTGTTATAAAGTAGTGCAAAAGTCACACCTGAAGAATCATAAATGTTATCGTTTCACATTTGTACAAATCTAGCTATAACTTCAACATCTACATTAGTAGTTATTTAAATGCATACGACTTGGTTTGAGCTGGAGTACTTTCAAAGTAAGTAAAATCCACCAAACTAATTCCTCGCTCTCAAAGCAGTTTGGGGTCATCACTAATTTTCACATTTTTAGACATTGGTCGCTTTGTATGGACCAATGGCTCCAATGTGTTTGTGATTATTGCCTGTACTATGTTCGATTGGATTCTCTGATCTGTTGCTGAGGAATCGACAAAAATAAATACATTGAAATGAATGAATTGAATATATTTTTAGTTTAATGCGAATTGGGTGCAACTCTGACTGCCACCCCCCGACCCAGCAATGGATTAAGGACAAGAACATGGATGGATGGATATTTTTAGTGTCAGTCACATTTTTTTCAGACGGAAAAGTGAAAAAGAGACGTCCACCTTGACTCAAATAGTGCAGCACAAGGCTATGATTTTGAGATGAAGACAGAATGTTGTGGTCTGATTTGTTCATAATTATCTTTCTGTTGGAACGAACCAAAAGCAGTATGTATGGAAAAATGAAATCAAGTAACGCAGTGTTAAAAAGTGTCATCACTCCACATACTGAACAACCAGGGCTTCTTCCAGCAAGTAAGTAAAAGATATAATGTGTTCCTTTAAGATGAGTACATTCTGGATATCTGACAAAAGTCTAACAAACAAAATGCATATTCAAGAACACATCCCATCTCTGAGCTCTTCCATAGCTCCTTCTATAATCCCTATAACACACACATATATATATAAATTCTCATCTGTGGCCTCACCTGCAGGTCCTTGTCGTGGCACTGTCTCTCCAGCAGCAGCGTCCTCTCTCGCAGCTCGTCCACGGTGTTCTGCAGGAGCTCGTTCTCCTCGCACACTGCGTTCACCCGTCTCTCCAGCTCCATCTTTCTCTCCGACAGCATCTTAATCTGGCAACCGGTCACACCATTACACCACAAGGACACGCAAGCCCGACATACACAGCCACCGTGCCCCAAAATATGCGATAGCGCCGCCGACGGGTTTGATTTGAGGTTACATTGTTTTTCTGTACAGTGCTGGTAGACTACTCCCCCTGGGTTGAAGAATGCAGTTGCTAAGAGCTCAGTAGGCGTCTGGTGCCACCCTTCTCTTTGCTGCCGGAATGTCTTGTTGATAAATTTCACTCTGGATTTTGTGCAACATGACCTCTCCCCTCGCCTCCCTTTTCATTAAAGTTTAGATAACAGCATCAAGGAGGTTTAAAGTTGTCTAACTAATAGTAATATATTTCTGTTCTGGAAATTCCCAAGTCACTGAAGCTGCTGCTATTCTTACTTTCGTCTGTTCTGGTTGTATTCTCTGCTGCTTAAGTAGAATATAAATATATCTATAAATACCTCCTGCTGACGACAGTGTATACTCCACTAGTGTACTATTCTGGAACCAAGTATTTATTTTATTTTTAATGTATTATCTAGTATCTTGAAGGTATAAAGGAGGATTTTCTACTTCCGGGTGGATTATCAAGACTATTGGTCCTCCCGATTGACAATCATTCTGGTGATACGTGCTCGTCCAATAAGACCAGAGAGTTTTGTTCAAAAAATTGGAGAGGGCGGTTCTTTCCTAAAATTTGGGAAAATCCTCCTTTATACCTTTACTTTTGAATGCGCTGGAAAACGGCAGCAAGTCCTAAGTAGCTCTGAAACAGCTTTTGTTTTGTTTTTATTGCATTTTTCATTGTATTATTTTTTTTTCAACTTGAGATGTTGCTGCAGTACAGTGTTCATGGTTTTACACTGGTCCAGACCAGAGCAGAGAGGATTCATGGTCTGAACCAAGTGGATCTGGCGATAATCCACTGGAAGAATGCTGACTTTTAGAAAAATGCTAATGAAACATTTAGCATTTTACTTTGGACTAGAGCAGAGAAAATGGTCCGAACCAAGCGGCTACTCCACCTTGTGACCCGTCCTGCTCCACCCAGAGGCTACTCCACCTCTGCTGTTGTGACCCGTACTCCCCAGAGATGCTTAGCACTTGTTGGCCCTTTCGCCTTCACTCTGTGGTCCGGCTCACCCCAAAACCATCTGGATTGGGTTCAGGTCCGGTGACTGTGGAGGTCATGTGGCCCAGCACCATCACTCTCCTTCTTGGTCAAACAGCCCTTACACAGCCTGGTGTGGGTCTACAGTCAACAGTCATGAAAAGAAAGGACACTCATTGAATGAGAAAGTGTCTCCAAACTTTTGGTCTGTACTGTATATTATTGTACAATTGAAGTTGTTGATATTAACTTTGAAACTCAGAGACACCGATCATGGGGCTGGAGAGGACAGAGTTTTAGAGAAAGAACTGAGCCAGGGGCGGACCGCATGGATCTTTACCGCTCTTCAAGGGTTAGGGTGTAAAGTATTTATCACTTTTTAATTTAAACATTTCAATATGAGACAAAAATAAGATCATTAATCATTGAACCAACAATGACTGAACCTCTAAAATACAATAACATTTTAGATTTTTAAATGGATACTTCAATATGTTTTTATTGTAGTATTTTGTTTGAGTTCTTTCCAGTATTTTAGTGCGTTCTTCTTCCGTTGAGATTTGCCACTTAACTCATTCACCGCCATTGACGTCTATAGACGTCAATTGCTTTGTTTTCGTTTTTTTCTTTTTATGGCTCGTCAAGGCTCTTGTGCATCCTGTGTCAACATTTCAGACCTGTAAACACGTTGGAACCGATCCTGTAGGGGGCAGAGGTGACACTGTGGCCAGATCCAGGGAGGGAGAAGGGGGCATGTGCTGCTGTGAGCAGCGAACAGCCAGAGGAGCAGCCATGCTTACACAGAGGACCGCGGATCTGAGAAGCTCACGCAGCTAACGCTGTTTGAGAGCCTGTTCAGTCATCAAATGGATAAATATGAAGCAGCTAGATGCCACGATGCTAGTTCTTCAGGTTTTAGTTAACATATGATTCCGGCACTTTGCTGTATCAGAACAGGAATTGATGTTTGTAAATGTTTTCGCTGCAGAAACAAGTCCAAAAAAGATACAATTACACAATCCACCGGGACACAATGTTCCTCACTGTTACTACTGGTTACTAAACAATTTGTTCTTTTTTTTAACTTTGTATTGAATATGACGGCATTGTACATTCATTTTTAAAAAGTAATGTTTCCAGGGCTGTGAAGATTAACCCCACATTAATACAATATAGAGCTTTACACATAGACTGTATACAGAGGGGCAATGCTAACCCCCTAGCTCCATGAAACCTAATAGGGAAGTGCTCATGGACAAAGTTTTGCTCCAATTCGCTCTGACTCCTATTGACTTACATTGAAAAGAAAATTCCTCTCCCTCAAAAACCGTGTCACATTCACACGCTTTAAAAATCCATGGTTTAGTAATCGTTATGATCTTGATGATCATTAACTGACATAAGGAGATATACTTACTTACTTTTTTAGTAATACCTTATTGAGCTAAAAAATATCTAGAACTCAAGATTATATAACCCTAACCTTGGTACAGAGACTGAAATCACCATTCTAGGATCAATGGTACAAATGTAATGAAAAAATATTGACCAATATTTTGGATTTCAATGCTTTTTATCAGACTTATCTTGACACCTCCCACAAGTTCACCTACATCGTGGTGCAGTGGTTAGCGCTTGTGCTTGAGTCCACCTCCAGACCTTTCTGTGTGGAGTTTGCATGTTCTCCCCGTGTGCACTACTACCACTAAAAATAAGTACTATAGGTCTGGCATGTGCCGTCTGTATGCCCATATCTCTGTGTGGAGTGAGAGACGAATTCCCACAACAATTGTAAACGTTTTGTGACTCTGGTCTGTGAAATGCGCTGTATGAATGACCTACTTACTTACTTTATGTACTTATTAGTAAGTAAGTAAGTAAGTAGGTAATCTTTATTTATATACCGCCTTTTCACTGCAGATCTGAGTCTCAAAGCGGTTTACAATTGTTAATGTTTTTGTTTTGGGCATTTGTCTCTCACTCCACACAGAGATAGGAGCGGGGTCGCCAGTACAGGAGGCGCATGCCAGAACTATTGGACATATTTTTAGTGGTAGGGGAAACCAGAGTACCCGGAGGAAACCTAAGCAGACACGGGGAGAACATGCAAACTCCACTCAGAAAGGCCCTGGTCCGACCGGGATTCGAACCCAGGACCTTCTTGCTGAGAGGCGAGAGTGCTATCCACTCAGCCACCGTGCCACCGTTCCGCCCTATTATAAAATTAAATTAGTTAGTAGCATTGTCGTACAGCTATATTGATTTCTTGTCAAACTCAATCTTATCCACACCTTTTTGTCTTCATCCAACTCTATATTTTCCATATTTTCTATAATTTGTCATCGCTGCAATCTCACGCCCTGTTGCTTTACATTCTCGAGACATCTGACTGAATCCCAACTGTATCTGGTCCATTTTCATCCAAGCAGCTTCTGACCTACATCCTCAACCCACTTTTCTCCACGTTGCCACTTCGCACTTGCTTTTTCCCACACCCCCATCACAAACGGCGAGATTACATTCAAACTATTTTCTAAACAGCCCGAGCACCGCACAGACGAGGCAAAAACAAGGGCCCGCATTAGTCACCGCTGGATGACATAGAAATGTGTTGGAAAGTGGGAGCTCCCAGACATTGCAGTGAATCTAAATTTAGCTCAGAAGTGGTTTCTTCCAATTATAGGGCAACGCTGCAGTCTGGCGTTCGCTGCATTCAAAGAAAACCATGCAACGTAATAGAACGATTGTTAATGAATGAAGGAATGCAACTGGTGAATGAAAAAAGCAGAGTACATAGATCCATGCACCAATCACTTAGACAGACTATGCATGCAACAAAACAGGGATTGACCTGTGAGAATGTACTCAGAAAGAATTATTTTTGTCCATTGTGAAAAGCCCTCAGTGAAATTTTTTTGGTTTAAATAGTTCGAGAAATGCTTTAGTCCGACATTTTTGGCCTTTGAAATCTGGTTATCATGAGTAAATGTGTTAAATAGAAGCAGATATGAAAACAAAGTAGTGTTTAATGTATTAGCTAGTTGTAAGTTGACAAAAGAATTACATAATACTTGAGAATAATCACAAGTGGTATGTAATTTTTTTTAGATATTGGTTGATTTACTTTCAGATGGTGTCTCCATAGAGAACCATTACAGGTCAGATCTGTGGGAGGTCAGTAGTCACGCTTTTAAAAAACTAATCAGTACCTGCGCATTTGAAAAATATGTATTCATATTTAATTTCATTTCAGTTTAATTCTGGATATATAGAAAGGTAAATTTATCTCAATAATATACTGCCTTAAAACAGGATTAGTCATCTTAACAGTCATTTATGGGGTTATTTCAAGCAATTATTTACATCAATTGCTTTTTCCAAATAGCTATTTTGCAGGCTGATGTGTGTGCGTGATTCTAAAACATAAAATTCTCAATAATAGATTCATTTTTGTGATATATCTTAAGTATGGAAAAGGTGGAAGTAGCTACTTTTGTTTCTGACTTAAATGCAAGCCCCGGCGATCCAAGATGGCGCCGTATTCAAATGAATGGTGTGTGCTCAGTGGCGCATTGTGCCGGCACGGGCGCGGACATATTAGCGGAATTTGCCTGGAACACGCAAAGATCCATGGGAAACTCGCCTGACCAATCAGAGCTGCTCAGAGCGGAAGTTAGAACGGGAGCCAGACGAGCAGAGTTTGTGGCACTATGTGGATTTAAAGAAGACCGAAGGATTTAAGAAGAAAAAAAGTTCAGGATGACAAGGGACACTAAAATCCCCACAAAATCCGATCTTTATGAAAGCTGTAGGTTCTCTGTCAGCTGAGGTCGCGCTGTTTTAGTTTACATTGAGTTCTATGGGGTACATTTCTGGGTAGCCCACATGATTTTAGTCTGGTTTAGTCTGCAGTACAGCGAGAATCCCTCGAGCACATTGGTTCTTCAGCTCCAAGCTCGTAATACCCTATCCAGTTATTATAATAAATGTTGTCTGACTCTGGAGTGGGTTAAAATAAGTTGGGTTAAAAAAATAACTACTTCCCACTCGATGATTTGGATTTTTATTCATGTCTCAACAGTAAGAAGACATTAATAATTCAAATTCATATAAAGTACGACAAGTTACTTTTCAAACTGAGAAGAGGGAGTGAAACTTTTGAGACGTGCACTAACTAGACCCGCCCATGTTCACGCTCGCACTCCTCGCAGCTTCCTGATTGGACTAAATCAATTCAACTCTTCTCCTCCAGCAAATCAAACCAGTTGTATTTATGCCAAAGAGAGGCCTGTTTTGAATATATTGTCGCGAAATGAAGACAAGGCAGCGGCGACTGGTTTATCTGTGAGTCCGTTCAGAACAAGTGTAGACAGGGCTTTTTATATGATTTGTGCCGATGTGGATAAGAACAGAAGCCGTCATCACTTGAGACATACATGTAAATGACTCACGCTTAAGATATAGATACTGTAGTGACAATGTGGGCCAAACAAAAACGTACAGTGCTTCAGATAATAACGGGAAGCAGTAATAAAGATATAACAGAGGTCCACAGTACAAAATATGCTGGTCAGATTACACAACACATAATATTCTTGTTAAAAATATACTTACTGCACATAAAAGTACAGAATTTGTGTGTTTTTGTGTGGTCAGAAATACACATTAATTCAACGTAAAGAACTTTAGAAATTGTTCATCTTTTTTTCCCAGTTTTGTCTGAATGTGTGTGTCGTCAGTGAGTGGACATGCCCTGTTTCCTGGACCATGCCGGACCATGCCGGACCATGCAGCATGCAGACGTTCACAAAGACTACAGACATAAAGACTACTCACTTCTAGCCCTTGCTGCTCCACAAAGAAGGAGGAAGTGGTGAAGAGAGGAGACATATTGTTTAAGACAGGGGTGTCCAAACTCTTTTCACAGTGAGCCGCGGATTGAAATACCGACAAGACACTTTGCCAATTCACAGGACCGTGCATGACTGACGACTGGTGCGTTTAAGAGCCAAAAAAACCTTCACACGAGCCACCAAAATAATGACAATAATAATAATAAAACATAATAAAACATACAAAATTACAAATAATGATAACAAATAATAATAAACAAAACAATAAAAAATAAAATAAATAAAATAAATAAAATAAATAAAATAAATAAAATAAATAAAATAAATAAAATAAATAAAATAAATAAATAAAATAAATGATAATCATAAAAAAAATATATATATATTCTTTTGAGTCCTTCTATTGTTTTCACCACCACATTTGGCCTTGGTTAAACATGTCTGGTTTAAGTGAGTCTGACAAATTTTCTTTGTACCTGACCATTTTCTCAGACAGGCATGAAGTGTTTTCCCTCTGTGCTCAATAATGCAGTGTACAGTACTTTGAGTGCCAAGGATTTCACTTTGGATTATGTAAGGGCAGTGTCGGCCCGGTGCACTCCGGGATAATGAAATAAACTGGGAGTAAATTGAAGAGAGAAAAAACATTGCTGTGTTTCAGGTGGCGTCAAAACATCAGCTCCTTTCCTTTGAAATGTTGAACTGAATGTATTTCAGTGTAAAGAGTGTGTGATGTAGTGAAAACTGGGGAACATGAATCTATAGTTGACCGTTTTTTTTATATCAGGATAACAGAATTCTTTGGTCTGATTTGTTCACATTTTATTTATACAAGACTTTCTGTCGGGAAAACAACATTTTTGAAAAAGGTTAGGTTCCTCATCTTTAAATTCAGTTTTTCAAAGGCTTAATAATTAGTATAATACAGTACTCTCTCGCTCGGCCAATCAGCTCTCAGCCCAAAGCTTTACAAAGTGACAGGGCTCTTTCTTACAGGTACGCAAATGCTATCTTCCAATAAGATGAAGAGTCTGTTGTGGTCTGATTTGTTCACAACATTTTACTATTTCTGTTGAGACATACGGTAATGTAACAGTTAGCTATACCCCCACTTTTAAAAAAGCAGTCTCCCATTGTATTACCTTTTATCAATATTCAATCTTTTTTATATATGCGTTATTCTGTATATTTGTCAACAAAAGTATGAGGATGCAATACGATGTGAAAAGTATCCCCACTCCCCTTCTCATCAGTATCATTTTGCATTGAATTAGTTAAATTTACTTTTTTTTTTTCCGAAAGTTTGTTAATCCCAATAGCCTGCGTCTGTCCCAGAGCTGTGCAGAAGTTCAAACCAAGGTTGTTTGGGTTAAATGCTCCGTAGAGCGGCTCACCTCGGCCTGCAGTGTCTCGAGTCTCGTCATGTGCTGGTTGGTGGACATGCTCTTCTCCCTGAAATCCTCCCGTAGTGAAGTGACCTGAGTGGACAGCTGCTGCTCCACCTCCGCAGCCTGGACAAAGACACAAGCACCGGGTCAGAGAGACAGAGAAGGCAGGAGGCAAAGGAGACAAACTGAGAAAAATAAGTTTGTTTGTTGTCATCAAAAAACAGACTTGGAGTTGTTTTTAGATCCATTCACAATGTTGTAAAGGACTTCTGGCACGAACATGTAACTCCGCCCCCTTCTGTTAAAAATCTGCGGTCTCAGAAACACCAAAATATAAAGCATGGAGGCCATTTTTTAAAATTTACCTTCAACAAAACTGATAAATAGACTGTAACATTGTTCCAAAGGCATAGATCACACTCCGATACAGTAGGTGGCGGCATACGTCAGTATTGATTCGTAGCCCGCCATTAAGTGACATAAGAAGAAGATGAAGAACTCGGAAATGTCTACAAAATCTTCCCAAACTGAGAGCATTCACACACACACACACACACGCGTGCGCACACACACGCACACACACACACACACACACACACGCACACGCACACGCACACGCACACGTACCTGAACTCGCTTTCACTCATTCCTTCGAGAGGCGCAGAAACCTTCACTGTTAGGATAAAAGAAATACAGGCGCAGCTCAGAGTTTCCGAGTTAAGCAGGGCTCAATCCCATTTTTCCAAGTGGGAGTTTCTGAGATGGTATAAAAGTGGACTCAGTTCTGTAGTACTATAATGTTACTATGACATCACACTCAGAGCAGTTTTCTCCCTTTTAAAACAAACGTAACGCAAGCAATTTTTATAGAAGTTGTGATACTTTCTCAGGTGGAATTAGGTTTTTTACAATCACACTGCCACTACCTCCTGTGGACTCACCACCTGCAGAGGGTCAGTGAGGGGCTGGTGCTATGAGACTTGGGTGGCATCTCTGATTGCCACCCCCCTGACCCAGAAATGGATTAAAGGGTAGAAAATGGATGAATGGAAATGGATGGACAATCACACTGCTGTGTTTGCTGCCAGTAATTTTCTAATTTTAAAAAACAAAACAAAATTCAACTCCTCCCTCTGGTGGTAGCATTGGGAGCTACAGATTAAAAGTTTCAATTTCAATGGTCAAAAATCATATTTCATCTTTAAAACTGTTAAAACTGATTGCAGTTTGCATGGCTGCCTCAATACAATTAGTTTTTAACTTGTGTAATAGAGTGTAAAAGTGTAATAAAAGTCAATGCCCATGCAGACCGTTCCGCTAAACCAAGCATGTTATCACAGTTTCTATGTAGTTACTCACAAGTCATGGCATGTGAAGCATCTCAACAACTCTCTGTCGGGTATGTCCAAACAATATTCATTCACATCTACATCATTTCATTTACAACAACACATGTTTCGATGATTGCCTGCTGTTGTGTTTCTCTCTGGCTGGGTCTCAATTCAAGAATTCCAAGGAACAACTCAAAAAAAGTGAGAAACCTCAGGGAGGCCCACATTGAAAGAGAGATCTGTTCATATAGACGAACAGGCAAAAGATCCAGGACTCAGACCAGGAAAGTATCATCACATCATAAAAACAGTCTGCAACATGAACGCACTGAAAAATTGTACTTATTTGCGTATCTCTAGAGTCATGCTAAATCTATTCTGTCCCACACAACCCTTTTGACAGTGAATATCACCACACTTTTCTCCTCTATTTGAACTATGACCACTATATCTGCAGTCAAAAAGCACTGCATCCTGTGATTATGTCCTGAGGTGAAATAAAGTCCATGTGACTCCAATTAACCCCCTATAGTAAAAGTGTGCAGCTGTCCCAGGCCGCTCTGGCTTAAGGCTTCACTCTCATGATGTGATATACGGACAGATGCGGCCATCCGGGCAGGAGGGCAGGGGGACCGTGACGGGCCGTGACCCACTGGCCGACTTAAAGGAGTAAAGCTGGAGCGGTTAAACCAGTGGTGGACAGAGGTTTAATCTGAATAAATTCCTTCACAGCGGAGAGCAAATAGCCAGGAATCAGAGAGACGAAGAATCCAAGGTGACAAGTCAAAAGCCTGCTGTGTAAAACCTTCTTGAAAATTGCTCATTTTTAAACCACTAAAATAATAACTCTCTAAAACAATCCACTTACTTTTATTAGTTGAATTACATGAATCTATAGTGTGTGTACAGTGAAAAATATTGGACAACTCTCAGGTCAAATAGAGACTCACAACTAGAAAAAAGAAGACAGCACCACTGTATTTTCTTGCTTATAGGGTGGTCTGATTTGTTGCGTAACTTTTTACTTTTACAAGACTTTCTGTTGGTAATAAGAAAAATTCAATTCAATTTATTTTTGTATATCCCTAAATCACAAAAGTACAAATTCACCAACACAGATCAGAGAATCAAACAGTTTAAACTCAAGAAATGCCATGATTAAAAACATATAGAGCCATTGGACAATAACGGGCGGATGACCAATGTTCATAAATATTGATAAAGTCCATAAATGTCAAAAAAGTGGACATAAAGTGGAAAGCAGGAAACCCCTTTGTTATCAATGGTATTCA